GACGGGCGATCCGCGCCGGCCGAACCGGGAGGACATGGGCGTCTTCTACGCTGCGGCGCGTGACCCAATATTTTACTCTCACCATTCTAATATTGATAGATTGTGGGAGGTTTGGAAGAAGGAAGGAGGGAGGCATCAAGATTATGAGGATGAGGATTTTAGGGAGGCGGAGTTCTTGTTTTATGATGAGGAGGCGAGGCTGGTGAGGGTGAAGGTCAAGGATTGCTTGGATACCGAGAGGCTTGGGTGAGTTTCTGTTGCATGCATGCGTTCTTCTTGATTTCAAGTTTAATTGGTTTACGTCCTACGTTTTTAGAACATACATTTCTTGGCTTTTCCTGACCGCGTTATATATTTTCTGTCATAAATGTCACGCAACTCCTCTAGCTGCCAGCGCCTGTCACAGAACTTCCGAAAGCCTTCTAATTTTTTTTTTCGAACGTATCCCTAACTGCATAAGCCCCAAATTCGAACATACACTCTCCCTAACTTTCAACGTTATTTTGAGAAGAAGAAAAAAAAACTCCGTGAACCTTGATGAAGTTTCAGAAACCCTCATCATGCTATTGGGGGTGTGTGCTGAAAGAATTGTAGAGGTTTGGGCGGTTTTGGGACAAGCACCCGAACGTTAGGGGGTTTAGGTGACATTTATAATAAAGTTTTGAGGGGTTTAGCTCGAAATGGACCCAACGTTAGGAGGGTTACGCAAAATCTAGCGTTCAAAATAAGAAATTATCATGTTTAACAATGTTCTATAACACTTCAGATCTAACGCAAGCTTTCCATTCAGGTACAAATACGAGGACATCGATAACCCTTGGCTCAACACCCCACCAACACCTAAAACTCCGACATCAACAAAACAAATCACAGAAGAAGCCACGTATCCGCTGTCTCTAGACAAATCACCCGCGAGCTCGACAATAAAAAGACCAAAAATTTCACGATCTCAAGAGGAGAAAGCAAAAGAGGAAGAAGTACTAATAATCAACGGTATCGAGTACAACAGTGATGAGTACGTAAAATTCGATGTGTACATAAATGCACCGGTTCCCAGCGGTATTGGTCCCGAGTCATGTGAGTTTGCCGGCTGCTTTGCTAATGTGCCGCATTTGAGCAAGTCAGATAAGAGCATGAAGGTTAAAACTAAGATGGAGTTCGGGATCACTGATTTGATTAATGATTTGGGTGTGGACGGAGATGAGACTGTGATTGTCACTTTAATGCTTAGGAGTGGAGATGTCAAGGTTGAAGGAGTGCAAATTGAACTGTCTGGTTAAGTAGTTAAAAAAGGTAGAAGCCTCTGTTTACCGTTCTATACTTCACGAGGCTTGGGATCCGGTAAGCATTATATAAACAAATAAGTGCTCCCCGTTTCAGTGGAAGGGTCTTCTACGTCAAGAAGATAGTAAATATTAGGCCGAGAAGTATGGGAGTCATGTGTAGTAACTTGAGACACGTTGTACTTGGTATTTCTATGGTATTTCTATAACGATAAGAATAACGGTTTGCTTTAGATAATTGAATGCTCTGATCGATGCTATTAGTTCTCTAGGTATTTTGAAGGGATCAACGCATACACCATGTTGCAGTATACGTGCAGAAAGAAGGTAAATACTCATGCTCACCCCCTCTGGAATCTTTCTCTTGCGTCAGACCCTTTCTTCAAGGCACTACAGCTACAGCATGGGTCCCTCTTGTACGATTACAAGTATTATCAGAACGCAGAGGAACTCATGTTTGTTCAGAGTTCACATATAGACAAGCACAAATACAGACCGCAAATAGAGACCGAATACATTCTATGTTTTCACCATAACCAATTCATACACAGAGAAGTTTTGAAGAGTTATGCAAGAGTAGAGGCAATGAAGAATATACACATTATGTAAGTCTTATTTACAGAAGAGAGATTGACTGCTTCGTCGCCACTAGAAGAGCAACCCAAATGTGTTCTCGCCACTGTAAGTCATGTAAAGGAAGCCATCTTCATCTTTATTTTCCTCATAGATTGAGGACATCATCGCAGCTGTAACAAAAAGTTTGATGTCTTCAGTTTAATATGAGATAATAACAAAATGAAATGAACAACTACCAAAACTATATTCTTTGAAACAACCTGTTGGTGGCAGTGTGTTCTTTACAAAAATGAAGATGGCCTTTTCAGCACTGAGTTTGATCCTCTTCCGAACAACATATACGAACTGACAGGACCAAGAAAAAAAGGGGAGAATATTAGTTATATGATACGAGCATCTTGGGAAGAAACAAACGAAATACCAAGAGAAGTATAGAATAACTTGTATAAGAATCAAGGCCTCATGATATAATGAACATGATTAAGATGAAAAGAAACCGATGCTTATGAAAGCAGATGAAGGGTACTAAAGGATCGACAAAGTTTATTCTCCTGAGATCCCATCCTAAGCTAATTGTAAGTTGAGGTAAAACCTCAACACAAAATTAATAGATAGCAAGACTTTCATTTTATAATGGAGACAAGTTATTGTGATGCACAACATAGAGTATCTAGACAAATGTTGAAATTTGTACAAAAAATATGTGGTCCACCATGAAAGGAAAGTAGTACTCAACTTCATGCTTTCTTAAATATTATAGTTTCCACGATCTATACATTTTGACAAGTTACCTCTCCTTTTAAGATTATTTTCAATGCATTTAGATAATGAAGGAACTATATAATTGTGTCTCACTCAGGGTAAGATTTTTTTTTAAGACTGCACGTAGCTTTTTCTTGACTTTCTAGGATTGCGTACATCTCAAATAAAATTAACACTTTTTCGCCATAATCTATTTTTTCTAGAAATTAAATATCTCATAGAAAATGGGTAATCCTCATCATTAACAGAAAAAATATTGATAAAGAAAATAAAACACTAACTTCTTCTTGTCAATATCTGGGATGTCACTCCTTTCAGCCTTCTCAACTATCACCTGCACATGAAAAATAACAAATAAATAGATGAGAAAAGAGTGTATAGTATGTACAAATAAAGGAGAGGCACTCACAGGAATTCTATCAGGATATTTCTCCCTAATACGAGCAGCTTCAGCCTGTCTCCTTTCTGAAATATAGAACGTTAATTTTAGAACTAAAGTGAGAGAAACTAAGCTAATACTAATGGTTACAAGTTTAGACTCATATATGCATTACAATTTCTGTCGCAATAGCAAGAATCATAATCTCCGAATGGATAATGGAACTGTCAGTTAGACACGTGCAAAATGTTTGTATTACATCAAAAGTTTGTAAGACATAGAAAGACATTGAAACAACCACCTCAGTTTATGCACCAGCTCTTAAGCATAGAAGAAATAACGAGTTTTTATTATCCACGAAACAAGTCCATACAACTTCTGTATCCAAAAAACTAGTTCACTGGTTTGCTATCATCAACGATAACATTCAGTACTGATAATCCTCTAGTTCCCAAGGGAACAAGTTAATGCTTCACCAATGCTTATATCTTTTTCAGCCTAACGTGATTTCTCTTCCCAGTAGAATTACTACTACTACTACTACTAGAACAATAAATCCTTTACCCCAAAGTTTGTGGTTTGGCTACATGAATAATATTCTTCCATTCAATTCGGATGAGAGTTATCTCCTCCGTCAAGTTAACTATTAATAGTTGGTTCCAGCCGTCCTTTACTAATACTAAAAAGACACCAAGAACCAAATAAACATGTGTCTGCAACATACAAGACAACCTTATGAATCACTAGATGCAAGTATTAACCAAGATAACAGAATTAGTTGATACGGATTTCTATTGATACAGTCTAGGTCTAATCTGACTTATATCTTCAGGGAGATTTCCTGTATTAGGCTAGTCTCAGTGTCAAATGAGCTTCCATCCAAGTTTATTCCTTTTGGCAAAATTTCTTAGTGTTCTTGATCAAAGTTTTCTTTTTTACGCGAATTACAATCAAAACCCTAAATAAATACAAGCAATGATCCAAAGAATTCTCAATAAAGAATAAGATTCATGAAAAGAACCCTGATTTCATATAAAATTCATAATTGCGATTTTGCTGGAAAGCAAGAAAACAGAGCACAAACCGAGAGGATGTTCAAGCTTGAATGAATTCTTCGCCATTGAATCCTTTCGCAAGATTATTCTGCTCCTTTTCCTGCAAATTATAAAACAATTATTACCAAAAGATTGATGTAGAAAAACCCTAATCAAATAAAGAGGAAACCCACCAAGGTGAATTGACCGATGGTAAAGAGATGGGAGAAATTTGGGGATCTGTGGAAATTGGGTGTGATTGTGTGAATATATATATACCGGTTTCTTTACGGATCCGGGTATTGGGAGAAATTTGGGGATCTGTGGAAATTGGGTGTGATTGTGTGAATATATATATACCGGTTTCTTTACGGATCACGTTGTTTTACTTATTTTCATGATGTTTTTACAAAAAATAAAACACCATGTGTTTAAAAATCATAATATTTTTTGAACTAAATCATGCTCAAACTAAAAAATACAATACTTATTTCAAAAAGATGTTTTAAGTTTGGTGTTTTAGTTTTGAGTTTGAGAAAGTGTTAATATAATATTTAATATAATATATTAAATGTAATTAATATAAAGTTATTATCAACATGCTTATTATATTATACTATACTCTACTATATTATAGTTAATTTAATATATTAATAATATTTATTAAATAATATAAAAATATAATAAATAAAATATCTTATATAATAATATAATAACATATTAAATACCAATATTTAATATGTTAATAATGTATTATATAATAAATAAATAATGATAATAAAATATAAATATCCTAATAAAAAATAGTAAAAAAGATATTGATAATAAATAATAATATAATAATGATATAATAATATACTATACAACAGTATAATCACTATATTACTATTAAATTTTTAATAAAAAAATTGTAATAAATTAATAATTTTAAAATATTATATAATAGTAACATATTTAATAATAACATAACAATATAATAATATTATTATAATAACATATTATATAGTAAATGCAATATAATATATAAAATATTAATATATTATATAATAAATAAAATAATTTATTATAAA